CAGCAGACAGATTTTTTACAGGTATTCATTGCAAATATAACACACACAATTTAGTTACAAAATTAAAAACAACTACGTACAAAATTATCTTAAAATACTCGTACTCATACTTGATACTAAAAAATATTTATCTTTTACACAATTAGTTTAAAACAAAAACAGGCGATGCCAAATGCTAAGGAAAAGCCAAAAAGTTAACATTTGTACTTTTAACAGCAGGTACAATTGTACTTTTTTATTGATTGTAAATTTTTCATAAAAATTGCACAATACCGCTGCATTTGTGTTTGCTTATTAACTTTAAGGATACAGTTATACGAGGGTTATTCCAAAAATGTATACAAATTGTTTAGAAAAAGGCACATCTATTCATATTTAGTACACCTTACAAATCTTTGCAAAAAGCCCACGACAGCTACAAAATATTTTAAATACCTGTTTAACAATATTCAAGGCGAATTTTCCTAAATTTGTTTAAAAGATTTTTAATCTTAGCTATTTATACCAGCAAAATTGGTCCATAAATATCGGAGATATTAAAAATTTCCGAAAAGTTTTATGATTTATATTAATAAGTTTATTTAAAAAAAGAGGACCTTTTTGCGGTCACCTGTGGACTGATCCTTATGACATTTTCAATACCAAACAAACTGCATTCATTGAAAAGGCTAGAGATCAGTCATGACTAGATTGTCTTAGAATTTCTGAGATTCTTTGTCCAATATTTCGAAATATCGCATACAGCAGCTAGATTCGTGCTAAATAGTTTCAGAACTGTTCTGAACAATGTACATACATATTTATGTATACATATTTATATTCCCCAAAGCTTCCCTAGAACTCGTTCTAAGAGTGAAAAATTAGAAGAAAATTGATTATGGAACTCGCTCCATAGATCGAGTCTTGACTTCATAAGTCTTTCACAAAAAGTTCTTAAGGTTTTTTAAAGTAATTTTCCAACCAATTTTGAAATAAAACCATAGTCGATAATTGGTGAAAAATTAGAAGAAAATTGATTATGGAACTCGCTCCATAGATAGAGTCTTGACTTCATAAGTCTTTCACAAAATGTTCTTAAGGTTTTTTTAAAAGTAATTTTCCATCCAATTTTGGATTAAAACCATAGTTGATAATTGGACTTTTGATCTTGTTCGTTCTCCATTATATTTGAACGTTGTGATATAAACATTTGATATGATGTAGTTAAAACTTTTGTCACATGATCTCGTGAATTCTAAAATCCAAACAAGGAAGTCAGAAGAAGACGTATGACGCGCTGAATTCTCTTAATAACTCTCACATGGTTGATAATGTGGAATAACCCATAGACTATTGTCGCTATTTTTAGGATAGGTTCAAAAGAGCAGCCACTCCACGAGCGGCTCACTTGAATTGTAATACCCTCGTAGTCGCAGGAGTATGACTGAGTATTATTCGCTGCTTCCAAAATCAAATCATACAGTTTCATTGATAAGGTTGAAGATATGCTTAAGATTTATATAGCTCCGCAATACCTGACAGCAAGTGAGTACCAAAGTTATGTTCTCTATTCAAGGAAAGTATCAGGCTATAACATAGTACGATGGAATTCTGACCCATCCACCTCTTCGTAGTTATTGTATTAAAAACCCAGTCTTCTGGCATAGGTGCCTATGACACAGTTACCCGTAAAGCTAAGCTATAAGTAATCTTGACATGAGAGTTTCTTATGATCAAATTTTTATTCAAAGACTCGTATCGCTTGAATTGGGAATGGATTATCAGTGCTCGATTCAAATGAATACGACTCTTGTCGCTAACGATCATGTTTGACCCAAAATGTTAACAGCTGCGCACAGTGGTATAGGAAAAAAAAAAAGAGGGAAATAATTCGGTAACTTGTTAAATTTTTAAAACGATCCTATTTCTTCATTTGAGTTCCGATTTAAAAAAAATTTCGTATATAGAATCTCCTCATCGAGCACTATAAAAAATGTCGTCGTAGCAGTAAATTATCTCTTATAGTTTAGGAGATATTCGCATTTGAATATTAAAATTTTAAAATTTTTACCGTCCTTACTTTAGTTTTTTTGATAATAGCAGGTCCAAATATTTCCGATTTTCGCCATTTTTTTTTATTTGCTTAACAACAAGTTTATATACCAAGCAGTGAAAGAATTATGTAAAAATCATGACTGAGTCCAAAGTTATAGGCATTTAAATTTAAAAAATTAAAAAAAGGCGATTTTTTGTCATTTTTTTGGGAAAAAAGTATCTTTTTCTTTTTAAGTTATCTAAAAAGTTTCTAAGAAGATGTATATAGAATTTATACTTTTTGGAAAGCTGACTTTACATAAAATACGATAAATGAAACAAAACCTAAAAATTTTTGATACCGAGGGGACCAGGTCCATCCAAAAAAACCCTATTTTTTATGGAAAATTAAATTTTGAGCAAAAATTCTCAAATCGCATAGTCGATATCAAATTATAGTGACCTGTTTTATATGACCCAATAAGTTCTTAATCATTTTGTAACGGGTTTCGATAACCCCGCCCCTGGTATGGATATAATAGGCAAAAAACCAAAAAATCCCATTTTTGGGATTTTTTAAAACTTTTTTGGGAATTCCGGGATTTCTAATAAGAAAATTCGAAATTTTTATTTAATTTTGGATTTTGAGTAAAAAAATCTACCTAACTGTAAAATTTCATCAAAAAATATTCATAAATAAAATTTTTATTGCAATTTGAAAAATTTGTATCTTCGCAAAAACTGAATAAAAAACATTTTTTAATTTTTTTTAAAAAAAGTATTCCGCGAATTTTTTAATTTTCAAAAATTATATACAGTTTTTTTTAGAAAATTTGCCTAGCACTATTATTTTCATCCATAAGGTTAACTCTTAAATTTGTTACATATATGGATGAAAATAATAGTGCTAGGTAAATTTTCTAAAAGATGTTGAGTTTTCCCTAATTAATTTGTCACTTAAAAAACATTAGGTAGGCATGTTATATATCAATGGAAAGGTAATTTTGTCTATTTTTCAAAACTGTATATAATTTTTGAAAATTAAAAAATTCGCGGAATACTTTTTTTAAAAAAAATTAAAAAATGTTTTTTATTCAGTTTTTGCGAAGATACAAATTTTTCAAATTGCAATAAAAATTTTATTTATGAATATTTTTTGATGAAATTTTACAGTTAGGTAGATTTTTTTACTCAAAATCCAAAATTAAATAAAAATTTCGAATTTTCTTATTAGAAATCCCGGAATTCCCAAAAAAGTTTTAAAAAATCCCAAAAATGGGATTTTTTGGTTTTTTGCCTATTATATCCATACCAGGGGCGGGGTTATCGAAACCCGTTACAAAATGATTAAGAACTTATTGGGTCATATAAAACAGGTCACTATAATTTGATATCGACTATGCGATTTGAGAATTTTTGCTCAAAATTTAATTTTCCATAAAAAATAGGGTTTTTTTGGATGGACCTGGTCCCCTCGGTATCAAAAATTTTTAGGTTTTGTTTCATTTATCGTATTTTATGTAAAGTCAGCTTTCCAAAAAGTATAAATTCTATATACATCTTCTTAGAAACTTTTTAGATAACTTAAAAAGAAAAAGATACTTTTTTCCCAAAAAAATGACAAAAAATCGCCTTTTTTTAATTTTTTAAATTTAAATGCCTATAACTTTGGACTCAGTCATGATTTTTACATAATTCTTTCACTGCTTGGTATATAAACTTGTTGTTAAGCAAATAAAAAAAAATGGCGAAAATCGGAAATATTTGGACCTGATATTATCAAAAAAACTAAAGTAAGGACGGTAAAAATTTTAAAATTTTAATATTCAAATGCGAATATCTCCTAAACTATAAGAGATAATTTACTGCTACGACGACATTTTTTATAGTGCTCGATGAGGAGATTCTATATACGAAATTTTTTTTAAATCGGAACTCAAATGAAGAAATAGGATCGTTTTAAAAATTTAACATAGCCGAGGTGTCCTAATTTGAGGACCCCCCGCCGGGCCCCTGGTTGGCCTATAAGGTCCAAATTCAAAACCTAAACTCGACAACACCTCCTCTTTGTGCATACCAAATTTCATTAAAATCGGATTAACCGTTTAGAAGTTACCGAATTATTTCCCTCTTTTTTTTTTCCTATACCACTGTGCTGCGTTGAATAATTTGTAGAAATCAGATCGCAGTACTTCACTTTAGTTGTCGATTCAGGTGGAAATGAATCCTGCTCCTGGTCGTAGAAATACTTTTAATTGCATTTACGATCTGCAGTAATAGGTTTAGTTGTGATATTCAGGGAGACGCAGAGCGGATTATTGCTATCTCCCAAATACTGTTTCCATGTTGAAATCAACCAGATTCCTTAATGAAGTTTATGATTTCGGTTTATTCCAGATACCTTAAAGGAATGAAGAACTAAAAGGACGTCGCAGAGTAAATGAGATATTGCCTCTTCTCCCTATATATTATGACAACTTCTACAATAGACGTTAAAAGTGAGACCCAATTTTATGGCGTGAGACGGTTGATGGTTTGTGGAGGTCTAATTATTTTAAAAATGTTAAAATACATTTTAAGAATTTCGGAATGCACCAATAAATTTTCCAGAAGTTACTCGCCAGCTTTTCAAATTATCATGGCATACATATTCAGCTATAAATATGCTTAGCTAAAGCTAGCCCAACCCGAGTGGAAGCATTTATCTCTGAGTCTTATTTGATTTTTATTCTATTATTAATGGCATTTTGGTACCATTCAGATATCACTACTAAAGGTACCAAAACAAGTACTATTATTTTATATTGTACCAACTTTCAATAACAATGACTATTTTAAGTGAGTGAGAGAGAGATACAAAAAAACATGTCCCTTGTAGTGAGAGAGTAAAATATGTTGAAATGAGAACCAAATAACAGGGTTAAAGAGCGTCGCAAATGAGAGAGTATGGAAAAAGCAAGATCTTTAGATACATTTTTTCACAGTTTGTTAATTGAACAGAAACATTTTGTGGGTTTGCTCGCTAAACTCAACAGTTCATTTAGTAAACGGCTACACGACTAAACGTAATGAACGACGGATTAATGTAAAAAGCAACAACAAAACGTGTAAAATTCAGCAAAATAAATAATATCTAAATAAAATTGTTTTCATTTTTTTAAATACAAAATTGGATATATTATACAAATAAGGTTTTAAAATTATTAAAATAACTAAAAAGTAGCAATTGTAAAGTGTTTTTAACTGCAAAAAACAAGAGAAGAAGCAAAAAATTGTGAAAAAAATAAAATAAAAAATATTTTAAAAGCAAAAATTGTATATGGCATACACATTTTTACGTTAAATTTATACATACAAGCATATGAAAAAAATCTTTCAAACAAGCTCTTTGTGGAAATAATTTAAAAAAAATTTAACATTTTTTATGGAATGGAATGCAGCAAAAGAGATAGCGAGCGTTGAACGCCGCCGTTTTAATTGTGTTAACACGACATGTGCCAGAAAGAGAGGCAGATAGAAATTTTATTATACAAAATATCTCCTCACATTGATTAAGAGCACACAACATACAAGTCGTCGCCCGTTTTTTTTTTCTTCATATATGTATATTTTCTATAAAAATTTTTTCGTTAAAGTAAATGTTGAGATACACTCTACGTAATCGGCCTAAATAGTGTTGTATATATGGAGAGATTATCAAAGTGTTTAAAAAAAATTAACGAAATAATAAAAAACCAATTGAAAGAAAACAAAACATGAATTAATTCTTAAGAAATATATTTCCAAATTAATTTGTGTAACAAGTGATTGCTGGGGTATTTCTCCAAGTGTACGAAAAGAAAAAATAGATACAAAATGAAAGAATGAATCTGAAAGATATAATTAAAAGAATCTTACTACCCACAAGCTTAATACAAGAAAATAGAAATGTTTATAAGAAAATAAAATAATAGTTAAACCAAACCAAGTGTTGAATAAAAAGAATGTGAGAAAATTTCAAAGTGAAAAAAAAATTGGTAAAAAAATATTTAAATTTCAAAAAATTAAGTAAGATTATGATGTTTTTAAACCCATTAATCTTTAAATGGAGAAATTAATATAACAACAACTACAAACCAAACAAACAACTAAAAAAAAATATTAAAAAATTTTACAAAAATAACCTCAATACAAACACATACACACATGTAAATGGCCAAGAAAAAAATAAACGGCAGATAACAAAAAAAAAAATATTTCAAAATTCAAATAACGTTTTGAACGGTCTGAAACAACAACAAGAAAACAAAAAATTGCCAACACCAAAATAATAACAATAACAACAACTAAAAAACAAAACAAAATAACCAACAAGTGGACAAAAATGTGGTTGTAAATATAAATAAAAAAAAAACGGCAACACCAACAACAAAAACGAAAGATTTTTTGACAATTTTAAACACGTTTTTTGAAAACCAAAACAACAACACAAGCAATCATTGGATATTTGGTTAAAAGCTGAAGAAGGGAGCCGAAGCAAAAAGAAAGAAACAAAAAACGCCAAATATCGTCATTAACGTTATCATTAGCCACATTTTTTTGTAGTTTTTGAACTCCTCCATAAAAATAAAAAAAAAAAAAAACACAAACAAAAGGTTTATGATTTCATTTATCATATGCTTATGGATTATTGCTATTATTAACATTAGCAAGAACAACAACAACAATAATAATAATAACAACAACAGCAATACTTGTTTTGTTGTTGAAGCAATAAACCCAAAAATTCATTATCCACACGTGCAATTATTTCAATTTGAAATTATGCCAAAATTACAGCAACAACAACAATTACCACACCAGCAACATCAGCCACAAAATCAAAATCACTACCAGCAACATTATCAGCAGCAACAGCAACAATACCAACAACACCAGCAGCAGCAACAACATCACAATAACCAGCTGCATCATCAGAGTTCTTTAACAAATGTAGCCGCCGTTACAAATCCCTCTGCCTCCACTACCACCCTGCTATCCACCTCTTCCTCCTCAATACAACACATTTCGCCACATCCCTATCAACAGCCTCCGCAACATTATCACCAGCACAACTATCAGCAACAGAGTCAACATCAATCGCAACATTTACATCATGGTGAATTTCCACTGCCCGAGGGCTGGGATATTGCCAAAGATTTCGATGGTAAAATCTATTATATAGATCATAATACGAAAAAGACAACATGGCTGGATCCCAGAGACCAGTAAGTACCTATTATGAGCCTACTTTTGGAAATGTGAAGAAAAAATTTTGGAAATTTAAGTCATCATTCAAAAGTTTTCTAAATATTTATTTAAAAACTTTGTAATTAAATTCCCAAAAAAGAATTCACTATTTTAGGAAATTTTTTAAAAATCTTATAAAAAGCTAATTTAAACAAATATCAAGTTTTTTTAAAAATAGTTTAAATATTTTATTTTTTTTTAGTTTTTATAACAAGTTTTAAATTAAAGTGCAGTTTAAACTTTAGTTTTAAACTTATGACTTGAACTCAAAGTTGTATTTAAACTTAGGTTTAAACGTCCGTTAATATTTAGACGATTAAGACATATAAACCCCTAAAAAATTATTTAGATAATTTCAATAAACAATTTAATTAAGAAACTGCATTAAACACAAATATTTTATTAACAATTTGCTACAAAAATACACACCAATAAAAACATACTCTCAAAAACTCGTATTTAAGTCATCTTTAAAATATTTCCCATCATTTATATACACAATTATTTTTGTGTTATACAATTTATCATGAAAATAAATTTTAATTAAAAAAAATTTCGATTTTATTTTCAAATTTTTTTTTTTTTTTTTTTTGTTTTCTGCAACATGTCCAAATCTTACAGCCAAAATAGGCTGACAGTTAAAATTGCAAAAAAAAAATACTATATACATTGCGGAATTTTTTCGCTTCAAGCTCTCACAAATACTGTCATACAAAAATCATATAATTGAGCAGTACTAAGCAATAACAAACAAAAAAAAAATAAATAAATAAATAAATATTTTAGCAAATACTCGCAAGCACACCAATCGACGAAGTAGTATCTGACAACTACAGAGATACTACAACAAGCTGGCAACAACAACAAAAATTTATAAAAAAAAATAAACTGAAAATGGAAATAAAAAATAAACAAACAAAAATAAATAAAATAAAACAACTTTAAAGCGAAAACATTCCAATGTGATGATTAAGACTAAAAAATAGAGCTAAAATTAAACAAAAAAAAAAAATAATGAAAAACTAAAACTTGCAAAAAAACTTAAACTCACATATTTACAAAAAAATCTGTATATCCCAGCAACGTTAAACTATGGTAGGGCCTCTATTCTCTAGGCCTTTGTTTTTCATTATATGGAAATTTAAACTAAAAACCTACAAAGTTTTCCAATTTCATATGGGGGCTAGGAGAAATAATGAACCGATTTTAACCATTTGCAATAGGCTTCGTCTTTAAGTCAAAGAAACATTTGTGCCAAATTTCATTAAATTATCTTGCAAATGGCGACCTGTAGTTTGATTACAAGGTTTACATGGACGGTCAGACGAAAGGACATTTCTAAATCGATTCAGAAAGTGATTCTGAGCCGATTGGTATTTCTATGCTTCATCATACATCAGCACAAACCCAATATATCTTCCCTACTAAAGTGGTGTAGGGTATAAATCTGTTATCTCTCTGATTTTGCTACTAAAAGAAGATCATATGACATACATTAGATTTGTATGCTTAGCATATTTCCTAACAAAGATATAAAAACTTTAGATTTAAAAGACTCATCTCAAAGAATCGAGGTTATATATTGTTGAAACTTAAAAAGATTTAAAGTTATTTTAAATACAATATTGATTTCATTCGATAGACAATATTTCAAGAACACTTTGGCGAGACTCGGGCTATTGTAAGATCGCCTCCCGATCTCCACAGATTTCGAAGATCAGTTTATAGGAGAAAGATAACAATGGTACAAATATTCCCTAGAAAACCTCAGACAATATAGATATTAAATTTAGTTGGAGTTAATAGATAATTTGATTCGATAGACTTTTTAAGAACATTCTGACGTGACTCGGGCAATTTTAAGAAGAGTACAAAGATTGGTGATCACCAACTTGAATTAAAATCGTCTCTAGATTTCCACAGATTTCGAAAATCAGTTCAAAGGAGAAAAATAACGGTGGGGAATAGAACGAAGATTCCCTGGAAAAATACAGCTAAAAAATTTATCGTTTTCGTGATGGATCATGCAAATTAGACTAGTATTATACTATTACAAGTGATGAGAATGATGATATAATGATTTGTGGCACATTGCTAGAACCTTAAGTGGATTTTGATTTCACAGCTACTACTTGACAACCAATTTTTGGGTTCGTTGTAACTTGAAAGTAAAACTGGGCCTTTTAGAAGGCCTCTAAAATTGTCTTTCTAACCCATTGAAATGCTTTGGTAATCAAAAATAAACTCACAAAATTTACAATTACAAGAGAGTACAAGTATGAGTGCGCAAAAAACAAAACTGAAACAACAAATTATAGTTGCTGCTCGGTATAGCTGTAAAAGTATGTGTGAAGTATTATTGTAAGTTAAAAAAAAAAAACAAAATTTTGAAAGTAAACAAATTACAATTATTTTACAATTTTTTCACATTTTGCCATGTGCTTTTAAGAAAAATGAAGGGATTTTTTTTTCAAATAAAATAATATTTTTAAAAATTTTGATAAAATCTAAAGTGATCGATAACTTTATATAAATTTTATTTAGATGGAGAAAGAAATGTTTACATATTATAAAATTTAAGGAAAATTTACTTACATAATATTGTTTGAAAATTGTAACTGAAAGTAAACAAAAAGAAATAATATTAGCAATAAAAAACCATATAAAACTTGTTTACTGCAAACTTACAAATGGTTGTTGTAATTAAATTATGTTGCAGTAATCATTTAAATGTTTGCTGCAATCATATTTGTATATATTTGTGAACGTTGATTTCCTAAAGTTTAAAGCTTTCATTTATGCTTTTATCTCAAAATATAGTTTTGAAATTTCATTTAAAGTTTAACCAAAATATTTTGATTCCTCAATACACGTTTTAGTTAATAGCCTTTCCAAAATTTTACCAATTTTTTAAATTAACTCACATTATTCTAATTTTCAAATTTTATAACGCACAATGTTTATTAGGTGATCATTTATAGTTTTAAAAAAGTTATTATCAAAAAAAAAAAGAAAACAAATTATGTTAACAAAACAACTTGTTTTTGTGGCGCATTTTGTCTAAAAAAAGAAATATACAAGATATGTATTTAATAAAATCAAATTGGAAAAGTAGCAGCAGCAGCCAGAAAAAAAAATGCTACAAAACAAGTTTCCGCATAGAGGAGCTACAGTAAAAACTATAAAATTGAATATTTCTTTAATAAATAATTCAACTTAAGGAATTTTGAATATTTGTTATTTTTTTTTCTTACACGCTTTATTTAATAAAATAAACATTTATACAACTATTATGACAGCAATGTTTAAATATACGTTATAATTTTCAATTTAACTGCACATTATTTAATTTAACTGTAGTTGACGAGAAGAAAAAGAAGAAAGAAACGTCATAAATTTTAATTAAATTAAGGTGAATTTATTTGAATTCACATGCTATATTAAAACTTGAAAGCCGGCTTTTTTATTAATAAATTGCAAAAAAAAATACGTATGAAGAAGACAACGACAAAAAATTTACATTAAATTTATTAATAAAAAAAAAATTTGGCATTCATAAGCTAAATAAGTGAAATTAAATGAGCCTTTACAAAAAACACATTTCTGAGATACAAACAAAAAAAATTTAATAAATAAATAAATAAATACCCACAATTTTGAATTTTATTTCATTTCGAGAGCAATAACAACAACAACTACTACAAAAAATGAAAATTTTTTAAAATTAACGTCAGCATTAGCCTCGTGCTGGTATGCGTTACGTTTTTCGTTGCTTCTTTGTAAATGTGAAAATTATGAAAAATATTTAGCGAAAAAATTCAAAATGTGTTTTCGTATAAAATTATACCGAGTATGTGTATGTAATAAGCACATACACACATATGTAGATGTGTATAAATTTATACAGCATACAGGGTACTGAGTATGGAAATTAAAAAAAAAAAAATAAACAAGTGAAGTGCTATTTTCGGTTATGCCGATACACCATCGAATAGGACCTTTATTGAGGACATGAATTGCTTATAGCCCAAGTTTTGACGATTTATATAGAATGATCCATTTTCAAAATGAAAACAGTTAGAACGATTTATTGATTATGGGAAATAGGGCAATTGTAAACCGATCCCTTTGTTTTCTATAAAATTAGTTTATTTCGTATTGCTTCACTATAGCGGTATTTGTAAGCCAGCAATGATCGATAGAATTGATTACTGATAGAGGTCTTATATTTATAAGAGATAGGGTCAATTATGGACCGATCCTCATAATTTTAGGTTAAGAGTATAACACTTGTTTATAAATGTTTAAACGGTATTCTTGGGGGCGCTTGCATAGGGTAAATCGTTAACCGATACTGTACAATTTCAATGCCAAACAACCTGCACCAACGAACTCAATTAAGTTTTCAACCGACAGTCGGAAGGACATTAGGTATGTCCGTCTAAGAATCTAATAAGGACCCAAAATTACTTTTTTGTAAATGGAGGTGTTGACGACTGAATAATAAAGCACAACTAAATAATTTAATATTAGATTTTGAAAACAAATATATCAACTAATCGAGGGACTATATTCAATAGTCTCTATCTAAAATAATACAAGTTTTCAGGAGAGCAAAAAAACTGTTTATTTCGCTAGTTCGTGAAGATTTTTTAATTTTTTCTTTTACAATATATTTTTACGACCATATTCTAAACCATTATATAAAAAGAATTTCAATTTTTGCATTATTTACAAAATTATTCACAAATTTATATCAGATAGAGCTTATTTTTCTACGAAAATGTTCATGCAACCAACAGATAGAGAGTTTTTCATGGAAACATAAAATTTTTATTTGAATTAAAATCAATAAATATTATATTTTATACAATTTAATGGAGGAAAAGAAACCAAATTGTTGAAAAAGCAACAGATTATAATGTTTTGGTCCAAAATCAATGTTATATGGTTAAACACGACAATAAAATTGATTTAA